ATGATTCTTCTTCGTCTGGACAAGTGGGTCGAGGTGAATGGCTTACTCTCAGATACGCAATTTGGATTCCGTAGGGGCAAAGGGACGAACGACTGCCTTGCGTTGCTTTCAACTGAAATCCAATTAGCCTATGCTGAAAAACAGCAGATGGGTTCAGTTTTCTTGGACATTAAAGGGGCGTTTGATTCTATTTGCATCGACATCCTTTCGGAAAAACTCCATGCGAGTGGGCTTTCTCCGATTATCAACAATTTCCTGTTTAATTTGTTGTCCGAGAAACGAATGAGCTTCTCTCATGGCAACACGGAAATTGCACGAATCAGCTACATGGGTCTTCCACAAGGCTCATGTTTAAGTCCCCTCCTGTACAACTTCTATGTCAAAGACATTGATGAATGTTTGGCCGAAAATTGCACGCTAAGGCAGCTTGCAGATGACGGCGTGGTTTCCATGGTTGGACCAACAGCACCGGACCTGCAAGGACCATTGCAAGATACCTTGGATAATTTGTCTACTTGGGCAATGAATCTGGGTATCGAATTCTCTCCGGAGAAAACAGAGATGGTTGTTTTTTCTAGGAAGCTTTATCCAGCACAGTTTCAGCTTCAACTTATGGGTAGAACAATCACTCACAGCATGTCGTTTAAGTATTTAGGTGTCTGGTTCGATTCCAAGTGCACTTGGGGAAAACACATAGCGTATCTGAGGCAGAGATGCCAACAGCGAATCAATTTCCTTCGTTCCATTACCGGCACTTCATGGGGAGCCCATCCGGAAGATCTGATAAGACTCTACAAGACCACCATTCTCTCGATTTTGGAGTACGGTAGCTTTTGCTTTCAATCGGCGGCGGGGACGCACATATTGAAGCTCCAAAGGATTCAATATCGTTGCATTCGAATCGCGCTAGGTTGTATGCAATCGACGCATACCATGAGTCTTGAAGTTCTTGCGGGCGTCCTCCCCTTAACAAATCGTTTTGCGGATTTATCGTTCCGGTTCCTCATCCGCTGTGAAGTCATGAACCCGCTGGTGATCGAAAACTTTGAGAAGCTGCTAGAGCGGAATCCTCAAACACGATTCATGAGCTTGTACTACGAGTACATGACTCTGGACATCGGCCCCTCCTCGTTCAACCCCAATCGCGCTGTCTCCCATCATTTCAGTGGTTCTTCCGTGAGATTCGATCTCACAATGAGGCAGGAGATTCAAGGAATTCCAGAGCCTCACCGTGCCCTGATTGTCCCAACTATTTTTGCGTACAAATACCGCCACGTCCCCACCGAGAAGAGATTTTTCACAGATGGGTCGGTGATAAATGCGTCCACTGGTTTTGGAGTATTCCACGATCTTCATAGCGCCTCATACAAGCTTCAAAAGCCGTGTTCGGTATACGTTGCTGAACTAGCAGCTATATCGTACACGTTAGAGCGTATTGCCTCACTTCCACCTGACCAATATTTCATTTTTACGGATAGCCTAAGCTCCCTGGAGGCTATGCGTTCAATGAGGCCGATGAAGCACTCGGCGTATTTCCTCCAGGAAATACGATCGTCATTGAGTGCTTTATCAAACAGCTCACATGTCATCACCTTGGTATGGGTCCCTTCTCATTGCTCTATCCCGGGCAATGAGAAAGCGGACTCGCTGGCCAAGGTGGGCGCTATGGAAGGCGATATTTACGAGCGACAAATCGCCTACCACGAATTTTTCACGATCTCTCGTCAGCAAGTCCTCGCCAACTGGCAACAAAAGTGGAATGATGGTGATCTGGGAAGATGGCTACATTCTATTGTCCCACAGGTGTCGATCAAACCCTGGTTCAAAGGGTTGGATATGAGTCGTGATTTTATTCGTGTAATGTCCAGACTCATGTCCAATCACTGTTCGTTAAACGCCCACCTCTTCCGTATTACGCTCGCCGACAGCAACTTATGTACCTGTGGAAACCGTTATCACGACATCGAGCATGTTGTTTGGTCCTGCTCCTTGCATTGTGAGGCGAGATCCGTTCTGTGTGATTCCCTTAGGGTCCGAGCAAAACAACCCTTTAAGCCAATTAGAGACGTCTTGGCTTGCCGTGATATCGACATTATGAAGCTTATTTACGACTTTCTTAAAGCTGTTGATGTATGTGTTTAGTGTTTTGTGTTTTAGTCATCCTTTACGTTTAAGTTTTAAATTAGTTCAAAATGCTTTCCCTTGTCCTCCCTCCAAATGATCAATAAATGTAATCCCTAATCTCGAGTAAACCGCGAGTAATCGGCCCCCGTTCTACTAACATTAGTTGTAAGAAAATTATATTCACACACAATAATGTAAAAAATATTCGGCTCCGCAAAGCTAACGCATTTGAGCCTTGACAAATAAATGGATTATTAAAAAAAAAAAAAGCATCGAAGAACTCATGGAGATCATTACTGAGGCCGCAAAAATCTCCATCCCAAAGACCAGTTCGACCCCCTGACCGGAAACCCTTACACTGATGGTGTCCGGAAGCAAAGTCTGCCATTAACGCGAAAGAAAAGCTCTTCAAATGCCTACCCAAGGATATCCCCAGACAAGGAACGAGTCATCGAGCTTTACCGCTCCAAGCGAAATGAATGCCGGCAAATCATCAGCGACGCTAAGAAAAGTAGCTGAGAAGAATTTTTGGAGGAGATCAACTCCAACCAAACGGTGTCAGAACTGTGGAGCCGAGTCAACGCCCGCATACCATCGCCAACGAATTAGCGGAATACTTCGCCTCACTGTCGGCCATTAATCGCTACGACACGGCGTTCATACCAAAAAAACACGCGTCCACACAGAGTATTCGTAACATTGTCATCCCGGAGGATTCAATGCCAACCAACTTCAACGCTCCCTTTCGACCCCCCATGCTGCAACACCTCCCAACCAGCACTAACATCGTTCTGCTGGTTATCGGATGCACCCTCAAAGCATTTTGAAGAAAATTAGCCATTTCAAGATTGTCCCCAGAAAAGAGCGTGGTTTCCCATCTATGTCACTCCCGCCATCGGCCGCTACCAACGAACATCTTAGCAAACAACATTCCGATACCCAACAAAAAGATTATCCAGGTTCTCGGAGTGCGCCTGGACTGGGAGCTGAGGCTCAACGCACGCTTTACTGACACTAAAGCTAATTACCGCACGCGATTAAACCTTCTGCGAACACTCTCCAAACCACACCGCAGCAGCAACAGAGAGAATCCTACTAAAGGTAGCCAAGGCCACCGTATACAGTAGACTACTTTATGGGATTGTACTTACCTGCCTCTCCTGCCTAAACACACGTCTAGCCCCAACCTACAACCAGGCCATCCGAATCGTCGCAGGTCTTCTGCCTTCTACACTCGCTGCATGGGCATGCGTTGAACTCGGTGTACTGCCGTTCCAATATAAAATCGCCGAAACGCTGAGCTGCAGGAACATCCAATTGCTGGCGCCGGTGGTGTAGGGGTAAGCGTGACTGCTTTCTCACCCCAATGGATCTGGATTCAATCCCAGCCGAGGTCGGTGGGATATTTCTGAGGCATAAAAATCTTCATTCGGAAGGGAAGTAAAGCCGTTGGTCCCGGCTCATGTCATGTGTTGTTGAATGGATGCGATATCCTACGAAGGTGTGGAAGCTGCCTTCCTGCATATTTGATTGATGGCTAACATTTGCGTCCTAACAGATTCTGCCATTTGCGTCCTAACAGATTCTGCCAGCATTTTATATACCTTGAACTCAGCAACATCAAAAGATCCCTGTATCCAAGGAATACAAAACACCTCATTTGTCCGGTTACCCGGCCATTGTGGTATACAAGGTAACTGCGAAGCGGACCATCTCGTCGCCACTGGGCGCACCGGCTGGATGCCTCCACATCTGTTCCTAGTTCAGACATTAAAACATAGGGGAAATGGATGTAATGTCGGCCTAAATGCTCCTAATTTGGGCCCATACATAAATTCAGCAATCGACAAAATTTACAAAGCGACCAAAAATATCCATTAGTACCGTCCCAATGACGCGTTCATCTAGATAAAATTGATAAATAGCAGATTTTTAGCGATGGACCCTATCTTAGATGCATAGGCCAACATTAGAGCCATTTCCCCTATGTGAAAACAACCCTTCGAGACGCCTGGAACCTAGAGTGGATTACAAAAAGAGGTCCGTTCTTAAGGAAAATAAAGGAGACATCTTCAAATGGAAGGACACTACGAGTCGACGAGAACAACATGTCTTATCTCGGCTCCGATCTGGACACACCCGAGTAACCCATGATTTGGGCAGCGCTACTTCTTTTCGGAAGTGGTGCGACACCTGCAACACTATAATGACAGTCGAACACCTGATCGTGAACTTCCAGAACATCCGGGTCCACAATGGAATCCCGGACAGCATACGTAATGCCCTGTCTAACAACCCATCCACGGAAGCTGCTCTAATAGTATTTCTTAAAGATGCTCGATTGTTCGATAAAATTTAATCACCGACCTCCTATTCAAAATAACAACGCACCGACCCGATTGAATTTAGACTGGATACCACACAACGATTATCTGATTACCCTCTACAACGACCACCGCCATTCCCTTTATGAACCGCCAGAGAGGAGGAGAAACCCACTCAGGGTTCACCAAAAATTCTAAACTACGTTATAAGGGGGAAAATCTCCAGAACCAGAAACACGATTTTCTTGGGTTGTTAGAAGTTCAAATTAAAAATGAACCCCGGTAATATGAATGCAGTGTTGTTCAGATTAGCGGGGGTCCATGGTATCGTTAAACAATTTCCAAAGTCCATTCCTTTCCTTACCAAATTTTTGTTTGTCATATTATTATTTATCCCAGTAGCACATACCTTATTACCTTTCTTCAACGAGTAGCCGCTACTACACCATTGATTCGGATCACACATAACAACGCAATGCAGTTCTATCATAAAAACGCTTAGCAGCTGTTTTATTCTGCAAGTATGATACGAGCCCCTAAGCGATTGCTATAAATACCTTACAATTACATATCGTTATCTACTCAAACATCTAAATATAGGCACCACGGGGACATAAAATCAGTTTTTGGACAACTGTTTCAGCATCTCTTTGCGTTTCTTCTCAATGTGTGCCGTGAGGCAGTCCTTCAGCCCGCTGTAGCTGCTTTGAATCCTTCTCTTTAGAATTACCTCCAGCAGGTTGATCATTTCTTCGCACTGTTCCGAGAACACAAACAAACCAAAATAAACTCCCGATTCCCAAAAATCCATCCCATCCACCGCTTACCGTCAGTTCCGCCTCCGGCCGACCGTACTTGACGAACATGCACTGGGGAGCGTGCTTCTTGTGCTCCTCCCACGGGTCGTCTGTTTCCTCCCATCCGTCCAGCACTTTACCGCACACGAAGCAGACGGAAGTATCCTCGTCTTCCTTGTCGTCGCCCTGCCAGTAGAAACCGGCTTCGGCCATCTGAAAATAATAGATAATCGGTCAGGACAACATCGGGGCGCGGCACTGGTTAATATTCAAAAACCTTCTGGATGTTGCACGGACTGGAGCCGGAGTGGGGCCACTTTTTGAAGCTGCTGACCCGATCCTTTTCGAAAAGGTACACTTTTTCAATGCTCTCCGTTTGAACCATTTTGATGTCCTCTTCAATCAAATCCGATTATTGTCAACTTTCAGGAACTGGTAAAACAAACAAACCGCCACTTTCGAACTGCCGCGGCGTTTTGAACCGCGTCGTCTTTGTTTTAGTTTTTTCTTCTTTAACCGCCAGTCCCAGTGACATTTCTCAGTCCAGTGAAAAAGCGATGGGTGCTCATTGACGAGTGCACGAATGGATTTTAGTTCACTCACTCGACAAAAAGTGACACAACAGCGGGGCCCTGTTTACTAAAAATGAACACATATGTGTTCATTTTCAGTAAACAGGGCCCCGCTGTTGTGTCACTTTTTGTCGAGTGAGTGAACTCAAATTCATCCGTGCACTCGTCAATAGGAGTGCTTCACAGCATGAATGAACCTCGAAATGAACTGCTTCATATTTGTCTTCAGATTTATTGAGCTTAGACCGGTTCATGCACGGTCGCAAATACACTGAGCGAATTTACCATGTCGTCATTGCATGATTAATCATTCAGAGCTATCCGATTTCTTTAACATCGAAAATAATATGAGATACCCGATTGACTGATAATTGACATTAAATGCGATGATTCATCATACATATCATAAAAGGAAATAACATCAAACACTTAATGAAGTACCGTTCAAATTTTCAAAGGTATTAACAATAAATGAATTCAAGAACAGAAATGAACTAAAATCATCCAAGTGAACCCCATAACGAAAATCATACAACAACTGTCATACGATTCATTTTCTTATCGTTTCAGTCTCCCATTGCGTTTTGGCCTTACCATTTTTTCGCAGTTTGTTGCGTCTCTCTCGAATAGCAGTACACAGTTTTTTCGCATACCACGGGGAGTGTCACCAAAAAGCGAACGAGAAAAAAGTTTTCGGATTCATGTGGCAAAAAAATATCTACTCGTTCCGTTCCCGTTTGATTCGAATGCTTCAGTGCCCGTGGATTGTTCGCGATCCAGCCCCCCCTCGAGGAGGTGGTCAGCGACTTTGAGGAAAGCAAGTACCAAAACGCCGAACTGCCTCTTTCGTACTACGGCAAGTCGTCGAACGAGTGGAGTTTTACAAACTGGCCAAGTGGCCATAGACAGAAACGTGTAATCAAAACAACATCCGCTGGTTGATTCAAATTCCTAGACTTCAGTAAGTTACTGGGAGGGAGGTCCTTTGTTTCAATCAAAACGATTCTAACAAAACAAATTTATCTTCCAGTGATATCTTCAAGACCAACCAGCTGATGAGCTCGTTTAGCAGATTTTGGGACAACATTTTCAAACTGCTTTTTGAGGCCACAAACAACCCGAGCCAACATCCTAAATTGCACAAGTTCCTACAGAACGTGATTGGGTTCGATTCCGTGGATGACGAGTCCGAACCGGCGAATCCACTGTTCGATGGGGACGCCAGGGGCGAGGCCGGCCCAGTGCAGCATTTAGTGTGGTTGTTTTATCATAAATGAATAAAACAATTGTTCAGCTTATAAAACAGAAGTGTTTCATTTACAACATTAATTAACAGTTCCAACAATTTAGAAGAGATATATTTCGTTATGATCACAATTTTTAAAAAAGTAAAATAAGCTTTCTGCTTCCATATATTTTTCATTCAGATTGCACTTATATTTCATTTAAACGTTGCATGACAATTTATTTTGAAAGTGTATGACGAGTCCGTATCCTTCTCAATGTTAATCATACGGTTTGTTCATTTCAAGTCTTCCTAAGAATGGATGATAATCATGCTAATGGTTTACAGCGTGCAGAACGAAAATTATCCTGTTTTAGAATTAATGCTATTCAGTTCTTCTGTGCTTTGAGAGCTGAATCAGAGAATGATAATCTTTCACAAATAGAAAAATAATCCGTATGGGGCTCAAGTGAAGCAATAATCATACATTGATGTATGGACAATTTGGTTCAGTGTAGCCATCCAGAAGTCATCCCGCATAAATGGGAACCATTATTGGACCTTACCAAAAATGGTTGAAAATTGTTTATAATCCCTGCTAAACTTTAACTGAAATGGTTATGGAACTTTACATGAACGTTTGTGTGATAAAGTTTTAACCATTTTTTGACGTAGGACTACGTCTTTAATTTCTATATGGGGATACACTTTGTAAAAACTGAAAATGGAACATGTAACCAAATTATTGAACGTTAATAACTCAGCTGCCCCTGAACCAATTTCAATAATTTTATCATCAATCGATCAGGGCTACACAGCAAAAAAAATGTAATATCGATCAATGCAATTCAAGCTGATGTATGAAATAATGATGTAATAGCAAAAAGCAGATACAATATTACATCAATGGATGTAATTTTATTCGCAAAATCGATTTACATCGTACAACGTTGTATTACACAACCGATGGATTAACCTGGTTGCAGCAGTTTGGATGTAATTAAACAACTTTTTTTCTGTGTACGCTTACGCATCGATATCAATGCTTTTGGCTGTTTATGTTCAACAAGAAACTATTGAAAAAGTAGCAAATGTCAAGCATTGTCAAAAAGTGTCGAAATAATTAACAAATCCACCAATTACGTACATGCATATGCTGCTTCCCTAGCAAAGTCGTCAGAGAGTAGTAAGTAGACGAAACAAGTCGAAGTGGCATTCGCCTCCGATCCTCGGGCGCGTGCGAATAGGGATGATGGAATTGCGTAATATTTTGCACACTCATCGCCATATTCAGAACCACACGCTCCCAACGACCACACAAAATGCTCTCCAGAGTTGTAATCTTCTAACCAAACTTGGAATTAGGGGATACACTCAAAAAATATATCACATATGTAATCTCGTATGTAATGAATGAAATCCATATGAATTTCACATAGCTTTCCAAAAAAAATTGACGACAACATAAAGAAATCCAGTTGTCCCACAGCTGTCTACAGCAGCAGTCGAATTTTTATTTCGGTGTGAACCACGCGATAGCCTGTTTTTGAGACTCGCTATTATATAGTTGCTCTTTGTTCGTTACTAGCAGTTCGGTGCCTTTTGTTGCTACGGTGCAAGATGTGTGAAGTAAAAAACACCATCAAGTTTAGCTTCAGCCACCATGATGCTAAACCAAACATTGGAGAGATTGTAAATTTCGCCAAAGCACTCGACGCGGATCCGGCTGAAATGGAAGCTGTTTATCGCATTGGTGAGGAAAGGGGAGTCTTCATAAAGTTCAAATCAGAGGAAGCGATGCTCCATGCTCTGACATACAATTCGGAGGATTTAATCTTCCATTATGCGAATGGAACGACGGCAAAGGTACGCATGTCGCATGCTGGTGAATTTATCCAGTATGTGCGTGTGTATGACTTGCCACCAGAGGTACCGGACAACGAGCTGGATAAAGTGCTGGGGAAATATGGAAAAATTAAACGCATCATCCGGGAGAAATTTCCATCTGATCTGTGCTTTGAGGTTTATACAGGGATACGCGGTATATATATGGATGTGAAGAAGGAAATCCCCACGTCATTGTATTTCTTCAACCGCAAAGGAAATATATTTTATGATGGCAACAAAGATAAATGTTTTCTGTGCAAGGCGGACGGACACCGGAAGCTTTCTTGTCCCAAGCGGAAGGCTCGGAAGGAACCGGAGAAACAACTAAAGGAAAAAGGAAAGCAAGGTGAAAGAAAACAAAACAGCAGCAGTACGTATGCTGGTGTAGTGATGGAAGGTGCGTCGTTTGTCATTAGCGACCAGGAAACGGACACGGGGTTGGAGATGTTGAATGAAGATAACGAAATGGACGAGACGACCCCGACGACCGACGAGAGTAGCGGAGAGCATGCAACGGGAAACGATGTTCAGATGCAGCAGCAGCGATCACGTTTCGGGTTCAACGAAAATGAGGAACAAATTCGGGAAAGAAAGAAGTTGCGTGCACGGGAGAAGATCGCTTTGTCGCCGCTTCGATCGCCACCCAGGAAAATCCTTTAATAATATGCATTTGTATATCTTTTGTTTGTATTTTGAGTACCAAAATTGGTATTCCATGTTACTCGGCTCCGCTAAGTTATTCTTTTAACATTTGAGCCTGCCAAATAAACAAAATGAAAAAAAAAAAAAAATAAAGAAATCGTTTATGGACTTTGTCGTTCAGTTCTTTTCTGGAAAAATATTTATTATATCATACCACGTAGTCCTACGTCATCATTGCGTACAACCCCTTGTAGTTTTTTTTTGACTATATGTTTAGTATTACTTCTGCGTGAAGTCAACGATTTACATAGTTGAAGATGCTAATTTCAAATTACAGACTAAAGTGGTAATTTTTATACGATAGATGGAGTAGATGAAAGTATAGGGTTGATAGTTCCGTTAGAGTACGGCAGTGTGAAAATTGCATATAGATACACACAAAAAATAATCGCTAATAAAATTAAAAAAACCATTCGTCGAATTAAAAGTTTGCATTGGTTCTTTTTGGTAGAAAGCGCTTGGCTTTCAAAATGAAAGTAAGTCAACTGTCAATTCAAAAGTTGCCTGCTACTTTCTTTTAAAAGTTTAAGCTTTTAAAAAGAATTGTAGTATTGTCAAATCAAAACTTTGGTAGTGCCGAAATTAAAAGTGGATTATGTTTAATTCAAAACATAGGTTTTACGAGAAAATTCCACATAGTTAAAACAACATGTGTCATTTCAAGCTGAAAAAAATATTTTCAATTTAAAACTAAGCATTTTCAACATAATAACTTATTTTTTTAGTTTAAATTAAAAGAAATATTACATTTAAAGTTTTAATAATTTGATTGAAAGGTCACACATATATTTCTTTTGTTTCCAAAATATATAATAAATTATAATTATTACTCGTTTTCGAGGCTTATAGTGACCATGTTGACATCGTGACTGTCTTCCTTCTCGATCTTTACCTTGGGGATCGAACGATCAATTTTGCACGGGGGTCCATCGGTTCGAACGTGGACCCGATACTGGCAGCCGGGTGGATTCCAACGGCAATGCACGTTGTATTCGCTGGTACTTCCAGTT